ACAACCCAACACGGGAAAATTAACGAAGAGAATGATTCTAAAACACTGTTACTAGTTTTTTACGAAACGATGTTTCCTGCCAAACGTCATTACTGCTCATAAAAATTAACAGCATAAAATCCCCTCCCCCAGAATTAAATATGTTTTTTTTTCTAAATTTATAATACAAAAACGTTTGTCTATAAGGGCACGTAGTCACACATACACATATACATAAAGGGCAACATAGAATTTTATTCATGATAGTTGTCTTAAAAGCAGTCATATACAATCGTACACACATAAACCAGCAAATAACAATATAGAATGTTAATCAGTAGATTACATAGAACTCTTAACTATAAGAGAATGCTGCTTGAATTCAGATTTATAAGCTAATGCAGACAATATATTAAACGTGAAGCTAAATTGCCCGCTATTGGTAAGAGGGCTTAGAAACCGTGAATCTTGATATTGTCCTTCTTTACTATGCCAGCCTGTTTGTAACAACAACATATAAGAATTTAGAAATGGAAATATATTGTATAGGCAAGATCAACAACTACATTATATCACAGTCAGCACATTACCTGCACAAGGAAAGTAGAAACATTCTTTCTTTGATCTCCTTGAAGTTGTATGACCTGAATCCAAACAAAACTAACATTTAAGCATTCAATCCCGCTAATATGGATAAAAGGAGACAATGCACCTGATGACATTTCTATTGAAAATGCGATGAAATAAGAATATTCATACGCTGAGGTCCGGAAAATAATCTCACTAGACGATAAATATCATGTAACTCCTTATGCTATGATTGCAAAATATAAAAAAATTACATAAGTACATTACTTATGAACAGAAAACAAACCTGGCCCAACTCAGGGTCCTGGACAACAGTACCATTACAGCAGAATTCTTTCTTCAGGTCCTTGAGTATCTTGGTATAGCTGTACTCTTTCTTTAATCCTTGAACAGTTGTTAAGCTTTTCCTTCCGTTACGTTGTTGTACACGCACATGAACATACTCTTTCGTCCCAGCACCGGAGTCCTCAGCATTTGCCTCAGCAAAGGGATCTATTAAATTAACCACATCAGAAACCAATCATAAATTGTGGTTAAGAAATCTGGATACAACAAAAAATGTTTGAACTCATAGACTCAACACTCACCAAAAGCGGTTGGGATGTTTGTGTCGAATTCAGACATGAAATTTTGCTTGGTTACGTGAGTTGTGATGAAGGCCTACTGATCTAATCAACCCGCTCAGTACTGGAAAAAAATCAAATATACTTCAGGTCAGATGATATACAACAATCAAAATTCCTGAAGATGCTATCACTATTTAAATTTCACTAACAACTAGTTCCTAATATGTGAAAATATAAATTGACCCATAATAAATAGAAATTGTTTTACAAGCATAGAAAATAAAAAGACAGCATAAATATAATGATGCCAAATGAAAAAACATTGTCACTATAGTTGTCAAGGTCCAACTCTTCTAAAAGTTTAGGCTGTAAAGTGAAGACTTGGGGATGGTTTTATATCTCTAAGGGTCCGTTTGCAAGTTGTTTTTTGGGGGGCAAGAGAGGGAAGGGGAAGGCTTGGGAGCCGAAATACACTTGTAAGATGGCTTTTCAAGCCTTCCCCTTCCCTCCCTTGCCCTCCAAAAATCAACTCGCAAACAGTCCCTAAGGGTCTGTTTGTGAGTTAGTTTCTAGAGAGAAAGGAAAGGGAGTGCTTGGGAGCCATCTTACACGTGTATTTCATGGCTTCAAAGCCTTTCCCTTCCCTCCATTGCTCTCCAATGTCCAACTCGCAACAGGCCCTAAGACTCTAACAAGAACAATAACATGAGGCGCAGTCATATTCTTTTCAACTATGAATAATCACAGAAAAGTTACACATGGACTCCAGCTCACAAACTAGAAACACTGTTCATTTACACATGGACATGAAATTTGGCACAATATATATGCACTCATTACATCACTATTTTTCAAATGGATATAATCACAGAAAAGTTAATTACCTGACACTCTATAATCAAATAGGAACTTCTATGTATTCAAGGCTGCAACGATCCATGAAACTAGAGATTAAAAAACCTACCCTGCTCCTAACCCAAAAGTAGGGACTTCTAGAAAGGAAATAAACTTACAAACCCAACAAACTGACCAAACTGAAGATAATGGAATCACAAGATATTACGTTCACCTAGAGTCTATAGAGAGCTGAAAGAATAGAGATCCAAATAAAAATTGCATTAAGGTTAATTAAAAAATAGCAAATAAACTGAACCGCCAATTAAAACAAGATTCAAGATAAATGATGTTGCAAAGTGCGAATACAATATAATACTCTTCAAAACCCTAAAATATATCATGATGCTAAATTGATACAATAAACACATTAGATAAGAAATAATAGCATGGTATTAAAGAAAAAAGAAAATCCACAAAAAAAAGGTCGAAGGGTGAAGGTTACAAACTTGGTAAGTTATTTCTCGTTATATGCAGAAGAATCTAAAAACTAAAACCGAAATAAAAAAAGAATATGCAGAAGATAGATCAATGAAAATAAGAAATGAATATTAAAAAGAAAATCAAGAATAGCGAGAATACCTAATAACAGAGGGAAAGGGGAAAGGAGAAGAAGAAGAAGTGCAATGAGTCGAGGGAGAATGGGAATGGGAATCTGAAAGTGAGAAAAAATAGGAAGAGAGATTGGGTGAAAGGGTTATTATATAGGGCGGTTTGGATACGAGACAAGTACTCTCAGCCACACAACTTATCTCACTCCTAGATTCTTATAATATTTATTCACTCACCTGACTTATACATTTATGCTATTTATATTCTAATCCAGAGTTAATAATAATGTATAAATTATTATTATGGATCTAATGTTAAATGAAAAAAGATAAAATTTTATTGTGAGTTTCTTTTGATCCAGCCATGATAAACTCTCAAATATAGTTAATGATATCATTCATTTGTATTAGAGTTAATGATAATAAAAAATTCATACCATCAGTACATATATCTTTTAATTATATTCAATTTTAGAATAGTTATTAACCAATCGCCTTTGGTCTATCCTACCTTGTCCTAAATAGTTTATTTTTAAATACTTGTTAAATTAACTTTTTAAGAGTGTTAGTTCTCTTTTTTTTTAATAAATTAGTTAGTTATTAAAACATATAGTATAATTATAGTGATTATGGATGTTAAATTGACTCAAACTTAATGTTTGCTCTAAAAAGTTAGGGATTTCACTCATTAATAAGAATGATAATGGATAATTTCCAAAAAAATATATGGAAATTAGTTTAGGATATACTTAAGTCGAGTATGTGGATTGAATGATTAATGACGATCCATATACTAGACTTCATTTAATGAGATAATGTTTGATGGTTATTGTTATTTGTTCCAAGCAACTATCAACTTTGTAATAATTTCATTAATTTTACTATGGAATTTCCCCAATTTATTTACCACTTTATTTTACTTTTTTATATTTTTAAACCTAAATTCAGTGAAGATCTCTTCCTTTATATATCAAGTCAAGTTGATAGGTTATATTAGCCATAGGGATGGCAAAAATACTCGGACCCGTGGGTATCCGTCAAAATACCCGCAATGGGTACCCGCAAAAATAGCTCATGGGTGGGAACGTGTATCATGATACCCGCCCGCGGGTACCCGCGTATATATTTTAATTAAATATTTTATATTTAGTTATTATTAATTTAACATTATATTTGTTTATTTTATTATTTCATAATAAAATTTAGTAATGAGTCTATAATCATAAAATTATCATATATATATGTCATATTATTTAAGTAAAAATTATTTTTATAGATCGATTATTGTAAAATATATAAAAATATAATTAGAATGAGAAACCCGTTGGGTACCCGCTACCTGCACGGGTACCCGTAAATAGTGAAGGTACGGGCACGGGTATGCACTACCCGTGCCCGTTGCCATCCCTATTTAGCCCACACCTTGATCAAAATGTTACCTAAGGGCATAAGAACTCTAGATTTAGACTATAGTATATTACCTTAAGATGCTAAATCATAGATTTGCTTTTTAAGCTTCAATTTAAACCCTATTGATCCAAGTCTTATTTTATCGACCGATTTGTAAACCAATTGGACCAATATCCAATACATGTTGGATCTTTGTCATAACTATTTTATTAAGATATAAAAAAAAGAAACTAACACATATATTTGTATGTTGTTAAACAATTTATTAAATAAATGACTAATAAAACCAAAGCAATTGGAGTTTCATAGTTCTTAAATAAATGCTTAATTAAACCAAGAAATATTTTTTGTCTTGCTTCTATAGTTTTCTTCAATTTAGTTGTTTGGATCCAAGAGAAAAAATGAACAAATGTCATATGGTAAAAAAATGATATATGTGTTCAATTTTTTTGATACTACCAAAGATATTCCTTTACCCTTTTGGGTATGAACTAAACTTTGGGATATCTGACTGTTCTTCCTAATAAGTGTTACTCTCTAGAATTGAGCACTTTACTTTTTGGTCATCTTGTCGATCTAACATGACCTTACACTACTAGACCAACATCTTGTTAATTAGATGTCTTCAAATTGATTAAATAAATTATAGATCTCAAGAGCATATTTATTGTATTACATGTAGGGAAAAGAAAATAATATGAATGTGGAATGGGTTATGAGTTTAAGATCCGGCCCACTCCAAATCCGGGTTGTTATTCTATGTAAGCCCGTGGCAGCCGCCTCAAATAAAAAACTCTTAACCTTATAAACCCTAAATTATAATCACCCTTCTCTGCCTATATAATCTACCTAACCCTTTTCATTAGTCTATCTCTATTGATTCTTTATTATCATTTTCTGCATTACAAAATCATATTTTTTAGATGGGATTTCTGTCTTCCTTGTTTCGAGTTTCATATTTTCCTCTTTTTCCTTCTTCCTTTTCGTTTACAAATTCATGGTTTGAATTTTTATGCGTGCGGTGATGATACTATTATGTGGACTAGAGTTTCTGATCTGGGTATTAACTCAGAAGTTGATTACAAAACCCTTGGCTGTCTGAGCACACCTTAAATCCCCAAAAAATTGTAGTTTTTTTTTCTTATCGTCTATGGGATCATGCTTTTTTATAATCCTTCAGTTTATGCAGAATTTCCTCAATTTTATAATGCGGTTTGCTGAACTTGTTTAAAAAATCATGGCTTATGATGATAATATACTTATCTTAGCGGATTTCAGTGAGATTTTGGTCAATGATCTGATTGTTACACACACTGAAGCCTTTGTCCTTTAAATGACATGAAATATTGTAAGAAGTAATTGCGTCCATTACCAATTCCGGGGGATATTATGTTCCTCCTGGATAATGGCTCGGACGCTATATTTAGATGTGGTCATCCTGATTTATGGTTTCTTTACAATACCATTTGGTCTTGGAAACGCCACCAACATCTTGAATTCTATTATAGAGAATAAAATTCTCATTGAAATTGGAAGTCTAATAATTGAGAGAGTTGAATCTCAAAAGAACAATAAAGCATACAAAAAAACAGTCTGTTGAGATAAAAATAACACCCAAGATGATGGATAATTGAAAAACATTTTATTGGCATTAATCAAAAAAAGAGCTACATTTCCTATATAAATGGAAATGAATATATTTGGATGGTACATCACCTGCAGAATTGGAATTTGGAATTATTATATAATTGTAATTGTAAATATGTTAATTAGAATATATATTATACCCTCTTACATGAATAATATATTTATTGTATCAAAACCACATTAAAATAAACTATTATTAATTTTGAAAAAGATCTATAAATGATGGAGATTGTGTTCACTAGGTATAAATGTTATACTTATTTTCTTATTAAATTATTGTAAATGAATTAAAGTGATGAATAAAATCGTTGAGTTAAAATTCGCGAGTACGAAATTCTTCATTGCGTATTCAGCTAAAGAACCATCATTCAATTTTGTTGGTCAGCATGGTTTAAACTTTAAAACTACTTTATTCTTACATTATAAAAAATAGAATACAAGAAATAGAATTTTATCAGCAACTATGAAAAAATATCACAAAAGGAACTTCTCTTTTCATTCTATTGGACTTTCTGGGCTATGATTATTTCTGGAATAAGATATCCGCCTCTGGACTATTCTATTATATTTCTTGTATTCCTGGAAGAGTTTAACATAAAACAGTTTGACCAAAAACAATTATTTATCCGATGCTAAATTCTTTAATGGAAAGGTGCACTATGCATATAATTTCACCACAACGAATCTCAATACTCTATTGGATATGTAATGTATTGAATTGCATGTTTCAAGAATCTTAAAAAATCCAATAATTAGGATCAGAAGGACGAAAAACATTCATATCAAAGAGGATTAGTTCACTGTGCAATATTAATGAGTCCTACAGTAAATAGACATTTCAGATTAAGCACCACCACTACAACTATGACATGCATTCTTAAGCACTACTGCATTTTATCCACCACTATAAAATGTGTACCATACATGCATTTTTGCAAGCAAAATTAAATATTTATCATTCTATCCTATTTGTAAATACTCTGTTCAAAATACTGACATTTTCAACAACTACTTTTAAGTCACTAAAGGAAAATATAGGTTAGCAATCGCTACTCTATGGAAGAGAAGTCCACATGTGTCCCTGCATCCTCTTCTTCAAGCACATCCACATCCACATCCACATTCTCTTCATCACCTTCATACTGCACACACAAATTAAATTGCTTTAGATATGCCCACAACAAAATGTCTAATTTTGAAGGCAATAATTATATTTATGAGAAATGAATGAAAGTATGAAACCACAACTGACAAAATGAAAGTGCGGTATCTACTCTATGGAAGAGAAATCTCCAGGAGTTAACATAAGTAAATGGTATAGTATGCTGCCAAATAAAAGTGTACCCGAGAGGAAGAACTGACCTGCGAATAATTACTACGAGGAATCAAACCTGGGCGAAGCATAAGCAGTAGGCTCTTTGCCTCATGTGCCACTCCATTCTCATTTTTGTTTTTTACAGTTTCAGTGATATCAGTTCTGTCATTAAGTTCAATCTCAATTTCCTCATCAATCACATGAGCTGCCATGCTAGTTGGTGGCACTTCAATCCTAGATTCCTTAAACTGCACATTGATGGTTAAGAAAGGAAAAGATCATTTGCAATGACAATGTGCAACTTTTCAAAATTTTATTTAAGTCGTAAGATATACAGCTGCTTAATGTATGAATGAGACAAAAAGAAAGGGCATCATTCAGACGGAACCATGAAGAATGCAACACAACAATTATGCATTACGTCATAGAATTCCAGCAGGGGTAGAGTTATCATGAAATGAAGTGAATTTAAACCTTTTCTGAAATTAGGTTGTTAGAAGAATTACATATTCCTCCCTTGTGCTTCCCTTCATGATTGACGGTCCTAGTAACATCAGTTCCAGTGTTTGAGGGGACATCAATGTTTTCTTCATCCTTGTCATTTAACTGAGCAGGCAAATTCCACCGAGACCGCTTCCTGGTTCTCGATGTTCCAACCAAATTCCCAACTTTTGATCTATCTGCACAAATGTTAATGGAGAAGTCAGCATAAAAAGAATTTAAACATATTTTCATAATAAAACACAACATTAAAGAAATAAGAAGTGAAAGCAATGCACTTATCGTCAAATGAAATTATTGGAATATGATATGTAAGCAATCTAAACATTAAACTAATATCCAAATTTAATTAACAGATCCTATGTATACACAGGACAACAAATAATCAATGTTAAATTATGAAATGATTTTGACAATCAGCAATAGTATCAAGCAATATGCAATACCTCTAGTGCAAGGGCAGCAAAACATTAATAATTACCACTGATGCAATACAAACTAGAGAGGATATTCTGTAATCAATGTTCTAATTGAATATTAACAGCAAACAAGCATGAAACATTAGTTAAAAGTTGAAACTTGTCCATTTATTCTTGACCACAGAATAACAACACCCTCAAATGCTTGTGGTCCAGAACCATCCGAGTTACTAAACATAAGCCCTTAACAGACGACTCTGAATTATTCCTTACCAGGTAAAAAAGGATGCAAAGATATTTGCTTAATTATAGGTTTGTCTAAACATGGTTCCCACAGATAGATGAAACAAATTGAGTTTTGATACTCTCCCCTGTTCTGCTTAGCAAAGTTCACAGTATTTCTGGTTCTGGGAGATGGAAACATTTACCAATTTCTCACAGTACTTTTCATAACTTCTACCTTGTTTCAACTCTTCCACAGCATCTTGTTTAACATGCAGCCTTTTCCAGTGGGGAGATGCATCATTCTGATCCACATTATGTTTGATGGCCGGAGGAAGAGCCGAATTCTCACCATTGCTTACAATATCAATGCTTAAATCTTCTTCACTGGCACCAATTCTAGAAATGTCAGAGACAAGTTCATCTCCGAACCTTTGAAGTCGGACCTGTGATCTACAAATTGGATACAATAACAATCCCCCCCAAAATAAATTAACAATAATAAATTCAAGAAAACAAAGAACATAAGAAATAAATGCATACTACAAACACAAAACTAAATGTAACTTGCCTCTGCAGTTCATCTTGTAACTGGGAATTATGATGGTGCATTCTAATAAACTGCCTTATTCTTGAAGTAATCCTAAATTTTCCAGTTATAACAAGGAAAAAGAAAATCAAGGAAAAAGAACATCATTAGCAAAATGTATACATTGAAAATAGATAAATGGAGAGATAATGACACATCATCAACAAGTAGATGTTGTAACGTTCAAATACCTTCTACACTCCTCCTTCTCTTTGAATAATTGAGCATCAAGTTCCTGAATTGTAGAATTAAGGCTATCCGCTTCTTGAACACTCTCATCCAGGTAGACCTTCAACAATAAGCATGCATTGCAAGTCATAAAGTGAGTTGGATTTAATTCCAAATTACAATTCAAATAGAATAATTAGCATCATCTGAAACAAGAATATTATTTATGTGACGCTTCAAAATTAAGCCTCAAACCAAAGATTTAGCAATTGAACATCCCTAAAGATTTAGCAATTGAACAACCCTAAAGATTTAGCAATTGAACATCCCTACGAAAGATAATTTGGCACTAGTCCTCTCCGAAGAAGCATATAAATTTGAAAATGTACTTCACTGATTAACATCGGTATCGGGTGATAGTATATTCAACTTATAGAATAAACTCCAACCCTTCACATTAAGTTTATCTTTTCTAATTTTCTATTAAATTTGCCTGTTAGAAGAATTTTGTCTAATTTTGAAAATATTCCCACTAAGCTTTTCTAAATAAAGCATCAAGGTTTAATAATGCCTATCCCCACTTAAAACATAGTGTTCCTTTCATTAAAAAACTTTCCACGTATTACATTATAGGTTTAGAAATGTTTTTGGTCTCTGAAAATTTACTGATTTTTGGTTTTAGTCCCTATAATTTATGATATCATCAAATAACATATGATAGTGATATAAACTAAGAAATAAAGCTGAGATGCCTTGTGAGACAACTTGACATAATAAGAGCCAATTAATTTTGATCTTTGAAGTCCACAAACTTATGAAGAAATTAGTTAATATACAATAAATAACCTGTACATCAAGGTGTCAAGCAAGAAACAAAAAATGCACACAAAATGCTTAGAAATAATGATAAAATGTAACTACACCTCCAAGAGATGAAAACCAACCTCTAGTTGGAACTTTCGGTTCTCAAGAGTGTTGATATCTGACTCTACTTTCTTCAGCTGCACACGTTACCAAAACAAATACATTTTTCACAGAATAAACAAGGGAATATCTTAAATATATGAGCGACGGAAGGGTTAAACAGAATTTCTAAACCTGCTCATCAAGTGTATTTCTAGAGCCAGAGGAAAACAGTTTTCCTTCTTTAACTTGATCTTGAATTCTACCCAAGAATTTTAAACTCCCAGGATTATCACGTTGGCCGGTAGTTCCTTGCTTCCTTATATGCCTTCTATCACTGCGATAGTAATTAGTGATATTTAGACTAATATTATGGATCTGAAACAAAATGAAATACTAGACGAACAAATGGAAGATTTGGCCCAAGGGAGGCACATAAGCACATTCCAGTCATTAGGTGCTGAAGAGTGAAAACATAATTTTGATATAACTAGTTCCCTAAATAAGTTCTTGCCATAAAATGTTAATCTTCACTAACCCTGTACCTCTAATTACTAAAACCACACTTTTAAATATAAGCCTGCCATGCTCAACTAGGAACACAGTACGTTCGGGTATGTGCTGGGGTAGGTTACTAAAAAAGATGCAATTGTAAGGGGTAGAATTCTTTGGTTCACTATATAATTATTGAAAAAATATATTTCTTTCTTTTTTTAAAGATGAATATGA